GATGATAATCATTCGAAAAGTCATCAAATAATGAAAAATTGAAAAATTTTAATCGTGATATTCAATCAAAAAACGAAAAGCATAAACTTGCGAATCATTTTCAATCAGATTTTATTTCTTTCATCGATTCGTATATAAATATAAATAACGGAATTAAGCGAGGAACAAAATTGAACGAACGTTACTCACATTCTTGGCTTTTGAAACGCCATTATTAGGTCCTTTCCAGCAAATAAAAAGAAGAAGAAGAAGAAGGAATGCAAAATCACTTTTGACAAACAATTATTACGATTTTAAAAGGCATGGAAATTGTTATAAGAATTGGAAGTTTACCACAAAATTTTAGCGTTAGACCGTATCTTTTAGTTCGTTATATTTAAAGGAAAATACAAACAAGATCAAAAATTAATTGGAATACGATACGGAAAGAGCTTCGTAGCGTCACTTACTATTATCACTTATCTGATTCTTCCTCCAAGAAGAGGAGAGGTGGAAATGAAAATCGCGAGATACACCCGTAATAAGACGCGTGGTACAAACAGCCATGAATATTCCATGAAATTCTACTAATTTCCAAAAATTATAATTCCGATTAGAGTTCGTTATTAGAGTTTCAAATATCCTTTGTCAAATTAATCAAACATGGCGGGCTTTTATGTCAGTTAAAGGAAGCTGCGCAATACGCAAAAAACGCGATGCGCAAAACACGTTTAACTTTAGCGTTCCTTTCCGAAAATTATTTAACGTCGTCGTCGTCGTCGTCGTTATTTTTATTTGTTAAAATTAATCAAACGTCCACGAGAAGACGTCAGAATTATTATTGTTACTCATCCTTCTAATAGCGTTCAAAATATAACGTAGAAATAAAACAGTGGTCAAGTAGTCATGGTCAAATGACATATTTTGAAAGTTCGTAATACGAGCTACCGGTGTACCGGTATATATATATATATACATATGACGACCAAACGACGTTTAATCGCAAATTACAATAACATTCGATGGATTATTATGCGTAATAATAACTTACGTTGATTGCACGAAATTGAACATAACGAACGGTACAAACGGTAAAAAGACGACCGTGAAAGTGTCGCGCGGTTAACAAGTGTCGCGAGGCAGAGAGATACGCTACATCTCAATACACTACGATTTTAGACAATAGACTAACCCTCGCGCAACAGGTTCGCGCGTCGGCAACTAATTTAGGGTGGGGAGGCTCGAGCTTGAACAGGACTCGGCCGATTTCGTGGAAACCTTTGACAATATTTTCGATACGTATCACACGATACACGTATACATTTATACCTGATTCGAACACCTTTCGCGAGCACGCAGTACGTTGTGCGTTGCGCGAAACATTTTGCAATTATAATATCACTATGCTCGATTATCACGATTACAGTAATAATTATTCGAACGCACGTAGAAGCTACAACACATTACACTCGGTGGTAACAGTGGTAGTAGCAATTATATTTTATTTTATAATATTTTATAATACGTTGACGATAAGTAAAATCATCTTTAGCACTTGTTAGATCATTGTAAGATCATTCGTGCTATAACTTCTGTACACGTACTTTCAGATTCATTTCAACATCGATCGATACAGTCGCGATAATCGCATTTTCTTTCCAACAACGTTAACGAAAAAATATTTTCTACGACAAATCACACACACGGTAAACATAGAAAATTATCGCGGTAAGTTTTCAAAGAAGTTTTCAATTTTCGTGGTTGTCGTACGTGCAAATACTCGCATGTATCGGCTGCTAACCTATACATCACATAACCTAACGTACACGTCACGATTGGACAGCATACCCAAAGTCACGTAGGTAATAACTCGTTCAAATAATTACTACTCACTACTGTAAATAGTAGACGCGTTCGACACTACTTCGACACAAATTTCAAAGCTATCGATCGGAGCAGTTTTTACCCAACAATTACCGCGCGAAACCTCTTCTTGCTAACGCGCTTCTTGCTGGCACGCGTACGTTACGTTCCAACACCATAGATCGATTCTAATATCGATCGATTATCGTTCGAGAATTACAATAGACGTATCACATTTTTCACTGCTTCGTTGCTTTCGATATTTCGATATACACGTTATTCAACTTGGAGCAAGAAACGAAACATTTAATTTTCTGATTCTTCCAGCCTATAAGATAAGATAATTAATTTAGCAAAATATCTGTAATCTATAATCTTAATTTTTAATTCAAGTCAAATAACGCAACGTCTTAATTTTAAATCTTTAAATAATTAATTTTTAATTTTTTCCACGCGATTAATTAATTCAGATCGCATACGTACACGTTTCGAAGGTAATTCTTTCTATCACGTTCACGAATGCACAAATTTAATTCAAACTTTGAATGTAATTTATGAAAAATTAAATATTACTCGAGAGAAGCAATCTATCTATCGACCTATCGGGCAAAATATGGAAATCTTCATCGATGCATTTTGCGAGTCAGCTAAAATACAGGAAGAAAGTCGAACTGCCCAATGCGGGAAATGTAATTTTAGAAATTAATCCTCTTAGCATTAGCAGTTTCTGACAATTGGCGCAAAGTGCCTCAGTTTTTGACACGGTGGCGTCATCTGTCGGTAAATCAGTAATACCGGTTGATTTTAAAAATATTCATTTCTGCATTTTTCTTACGAATCAAATCAGGGATATCGGAAGAAAGTCGAAGAGAGATCCAAGTTAAAGAAGGAGCAATTACTCTTCTCAAAGAAGATGCAAAATTACAAAAATTCGCAAATTAATCCCCCAAATTAGCTCTTTTCGCAACTGAAGATTTATTCATCTTACGAGCATCGCGTCTACCAGCGTCGCGTAGCGGTAGAACAATAGAACTAATTGTCTCGCGTCGATATCGTAAAACGCGTACACGTAATCATCGATGTAATTTACATTTTACATCTTCACGCGACTAATTTGCACGTACGCGACGGTTAATAAAGATTCGACGCGAAGATTTTCGTCAATATTTTTTACAAAGATCCCCAAGTACGCGTAGATTCATCGTTCTCTTCACAAAAATTTTATTTTCATCAATTTTATAATCATTCGTTTCTCGCGTAACGAGTAAAACGATCGTCGTTAATTTTGCATCGTCGATAATCGATCATGCGTTTTTTGTGCGTATTCGATGAAACGTCGAAGACACACACGTACGTAAAAAGATTTGAAAAGAAGACGCAGATTCAAGACGAGAAGGAGATTCAGAGAGACGATCGATCGATAATCTCTCGCGCAAGTAAATCATATCTTCGGGGAACAATCTTTTCGAAGATGTTTTCAAAATCCGTACATACATTCGATCGTTCAAATTTGAAAAGACGTTATCCGTTATTAAAAATTCGGAAGATTTCTCCATCTTCATCTCGTATCGATACTTTAATCGTAAAGTTTTAAAAAGCCAGAATGGCTGCGAAATTTTTAGGAAAAAATTTTGTATATCTTTACGCGCTTAGAAATTCCACGATTATTCAACGACTATGGACGATACTTAAAGAGACTATCAAGACCTCGTTTCCTCTTCCTAACAAAAAAGGGGGGAAAAAATGAAAAATTTTCCTGCGTCGTTGGACGCATCGTACCACTACTTCGTTTTGAAAGGCTGAACTGGACAAAGAGGCATCAAGGTACGAACGCTCTGTACAGAGATCTTTGGATTCAAATATTACTCGCGCTTAATTTAACTCATTGAGAGCCGCAAAATGCTGCTCGATGATTCTAGTTACAATAAGCGAGTAACGATTAATCGGTAAACGGAGTATCTCAGTGCTCCATAATTTCCTATCACTCGTACCATTGCGTACATTAATATCGTGCCGTAAAACGCACGCACTATCATTATCGCGACTCGTATCGTTCGTAATTAGAATAAGAATCGTTTTCAAACAACTAGAACCGAACGTCAGACATTTAACAACATCGTGAAATTGTCAAAAAGGAAATAAAGAAACAAGAAACAAGATCTAAGAACGTTATAATTTTATTTATTTGTACATATTTGTATGGATATTTATAAAGAACGTTACACGACTAACAATACATGAAAATTAAATACGAATTACAACACGGGGTGTATCACGTTTGTTACGTAGAAACGCTGCAAAGTATCGCGGATCTGAGAAGTTTAGAACAATAATAACAAACGTTTTTCATTCGAACATGGCGCAGCAGTTTGAAACAATTAAACCGAATTCAGAGTTACTGGAACTCTTTCTTTAATTTCGGTACTAAGAAAATTTATTTCTTACGACGCGTCATTTGCGTTAAATGCATAAAAAAGATATCATTGTGAAAAAAATTGACAAGATAGACATTTAGCGGACTACGATTCGTAAAAGTGCGAGAATTATAGGACGCGCAAACGTGGTGGAGTATCTGCTAATACTACGACTAACTGTTAATTTTTCTCGATTCGAGTACATTATCGATGCACGGTGGCCGTTATAAAATACCAAAAGGTAAGAGACACAAACGCGAGATAAAACGCGGTTTAAAAGAAGTAAATTACGATTAAAATTATGCTACCGACTCGTCTTACAAACGATCGCACAGGACGTGCAGTTTGACATCACTATTACGTTCTATACTAGAAATTTCTTCCAACTCCAACGTTGATCGATAATCGAGACAACTTGAAAATGTTAAAAAA